GGGGGAGTAAAAAAGAACATAAACAAACTGAACAGAAATGCAGGGGGTGGCAAGAGGGGCTGAGATCAGGTGTTCGGGGCAGAGAGGTGGAAGACCCAGGACAGTCACTGCTTCTTAGCTTTCAGCCACCAGAGTGGAGAATTCTGCAAAAGAAAACGAGAAGTAGGAATGAGTCCGGGGAGCAGCGTGCAAGAGACACTGTCCCCTGTCTGACTGCTGGGCCCTGCTGGACACCTGGGCGATGGATGAGCGAGCGAGTGAGGGAAGACAGTAGAGGTGTGGGGTAGCAGGTGGCGTGGTGGTTAAGGCACTGAACTCCCATACGGCAGACCGTGGTTCAAGTCTGGACTGGATGGCTTGCTTTCTCTCTCTCTCTCTCTCGGTCACTCTCTCTGGTTAAATTAAAAAATAAATAATAATTCTTAAAAAAATAATAGACAGGAAAGGTGAGCTACCAAGTCTCTTGCTTCCTGAGGTCGTGCCATAGAAAATGATTATTAATAATGACCTCCATCATTGTGGCCATAATCACTTTGTTTACCCCATGCCAGGCACTATTCTGAACACTTGGTGTGCAATGCGCTATTCGACGTCGATGGCGGTCCTGCATTAGTTCTATTCTACAGGTGAGGAAACTGAGGCTCAGCGTCCAGCCATTTTTCTGGACTTCTCTGTTGCTTTTCTCCCTAGGAAATAAGAGAATAAGGAACAGCAAGTAAGGAACTCGCCACCACGGGCCCCCGTGTGTCTCGGAGATGCCACATCGAGTCTCTGGCAAGCCCCAGCTGTCTCTGGAAAATGCAGTGGTGAGACAGAGAGACAGCACGGACTGGGGGTCAAGAGTTGGGGGGGGTCTGGTCTGGTCTGGCTGTGTTCACCAGGAACTGCGCCTCTGTGGGTTTCCGTCGGGGTCTGGTCTGGCTGTGTTCACCAGGAACTGCGCCTCTGTGGGTTTCCGTTGTCTTAGCGCTCAGTGGAGTGAAGCAACGAGGCAGTGGTCATTCCTCATGAGAGACGAATGAAAATCTGCGTGTGACATGGCTTCGTGGGGGCCACACCAAGTGACTGGGACCCCCTCGAGGGAAGCCTCTCCATGGCCGAACTGTGGAAACCTATCCATGCGACTTCTTCGTTTTCACCACCGTTCCGTGGTCACACAGAATGTTAACGTCCAGGGAAGCGAAGGTGGGGATCTAGGACTCGTACTACCATTGCACATCTTCTAGTTATAAAATGATTCCAAAAGAAAAAGTCAGACTCAAAACCCAAACAAACCAATGCGTGCCATGTTACAGAAATCACCTGCCCTGGCCCTGGCCGGGTGAGAGGCCACGAACCTGGGTTCCTCACCTTTCTGGCATCTGCCCTGGGAAGTAGACGCCACCCTTGCCTGTCCCCAGGCTGTGCCAGGGTAGGGAAGGCTGGTGACCTGGGTGGGGAATCCAGGTGGGAGAGTGGCTGCAGCCGGTCCTGAAGCCCCAAGGCTCCGGGCCTGAGTGGTAACTGTGCAGCAGGGATGGGGTCCCAGATAAATAACGAAACCCCGGATGCTCTGAAAGACCCCCTCCCACAGGCCGGGTATCTAAGGGCTTGTTTTCTCGGCCATGAACCCCGTGATGGTGCAGGGCCTCGGCGGGTTCTTCTGAGGTGTCTTTAACTACCAGCGTTTTGTGAATGCCGTCCACCTTTAGAGCACCCAGCCTGTATCCCCACTCTGCTTCCAGGGGCTCCCCTCCCCTACTGCCAGGCCATGAGCTTTCTGTGTGATGACCCTTCCTGTCTACACACACAGGGTGTGGCCGAGAGCCCTGACTGGGGCCCCTTGGCCTGGCCTCTGTGACTGACAGGGAGCGACGCAGGCTCGGGGGGTGACCGCTGGGGTTGTAGCCCTGTCTACACTACCTACACGCTGTGTGACCTGGGCCAAACGTCTACATCCCCTGTGCCTCAGTTTCCCCATCTGCACGGCGGTGGTAACAGCACACTCTTCATAGGGCCGCTATGCGGATGGCACGTGCTCAGTAAACACCAGCTACTAGTACTCGTGGGACCTTCCTGGAGTCCCCGAGGGAAGCGTTTTCATGTTATCTCGGCGAGTTCTCGTGGCCACTCCACGGGAGACACGCCTGTCCGCACCTCACCGACGCAGACACCGAGGCCGTGGTCACGCGGCGAACGTGATTTCAGCTCCACACGCTGTCGGGCTTCCTTCCTCCCCGGAGCCTTCCGACCTACTTTGACCTAGGTATGGACTGGCACCTGGCTCAGCTCAAGCACTGCCACCCCAGGACTGTCCCAGCACCGCTTTTTATTTACCTGGTGGTGCTTAGCACTCTGAAACGCTCTTATTTATGTTCTTATTTTAGCACTCTGAAGCGCTCTTATTTATGTACTTATTTTAGTGGCCTCTCGCGCCAAATATAAGTCCTCGGGGGCCGGATGCCGTCTCTCCACTTTGCCTCTTGCCTAGTCTCTAGAACAGTTCCGGCACACAGCAGGTGCCGGTAAACAGAGGCCAAATGATCGAATGAGCGGATGGACAGACACCCCTGGCTGCCCCTCATGGTTCAAGTACTGCCTTCCTGCCTACGTTCTCACGACAGCCCTGGGAGGTGACAGGCGGGAAGTGGGAGCGGGAGAGGGGAGGTGTCAGGGTCGTGTGGATACCAGGAGGCAGAGCCGGGGGTCGGGGAGGCCGCTCCTCAGGGGCTAGCGTCCCACCAGGGCAGAAGTATGACCTCTCTCCAGCTCCAACCTGCGTGCAGCCTGGGGCACCCGGGAGTTGGCATGCTCTGCCGCTGGCATCCCTCGGTCCCAGGATAAAGAGGCAGGAGCTGTGCACCAAAGCCCACAGCCAAGGCCGAGGGGAGCTGGGCCTCTCCACTGCCCAGCCTGCCCTGGCCTCCTTGCCCCACCTCTGGGCGCTGGGGCTGCTTATCAGCACAGAATCCCTTAACCGCCTTCTCACCGAATGGGAATCGGTGCAGTTGGTGTGCGGGGGACCAGGGATCCAGAGGGGGCTCTCCTTCCCAGGGATGGGAAGTCACCTGGCTGTGGGAGAGATGCTGGGCCTGGGGGGGTTTGAAAACTTCTTAAATCAGACTCCCTGCCCACCCTGGGGCCCGCTCTGAAGTAGCCGGGACTTCACAATGGCCGCATGCCCTGGCTCTTTGCAGAGAACACAGGATTCTAATTTTATCCGCTCAGAACCTTGAGTAGGGCATTTGCAGACAAATTGAGGGCAGGGGCCACCTCTTCTGTACCTCAGGGCAGAGCTCTCGGAAACAGCAATTAACCAACAGACCTCCGAGCAAATGCCTCTTCTGAAATGGCCAGGTCTGTCCTCAAAGGAAAGCAAGTGAGCAAAACGCGGGACCCCGAGAAGCCCAGTCAACTCGCTGGGCAGCAGGATTCTGGGGCGGGGATGGACGCTGGACAATAGGGTTCTAGTCTTGGTCCTGCCCTCTGCCCCATCCCTGGACAAGCACCTGACCCTTCCTGGGCTCGCTTTTCTTACTGTGTGCTGTGGGGTCCAGAGACACCCTCCAGTTCTTGCATAATGTTGCATAATGTAGAAATTGCTGAGCTGGAGGCTGGCCACCCCCGGCCCCCCTTCCTTTTGTTTTTTTTCTAATGTTTTTGCCATAGGGCACATGCACTTGCTGGAGAGAGACGGGGCTGGGGGCT